CCGTCTGGATCGAAAGATTGAGTTCCCCCTGCCCAACGAAGAGGCTAGAGCTCAGATTTTAAAGATTCACTCGCGTAAGATGACAGTGGATGACAGTGTAAATTGGGGCGAGCTGGCACGCAGCACCGATGAATTTGGTGGTGCCATGCTGAAGGCTGTCTGTGTGGAGGCTGGCATGATTGCGCTACGGATGGGAAAGAACAAGATCAGTCACGAGCATTACGTAGACGCTATCGCGGAAGTGCAAGCTAAGAAGAAGGAGGTAAGTTATTTCTGGTGCCTCTCATCATCCAATGCTCTCAGCTAACTTTATTTGCAGACGGTCAACTTTTATGCTTAATTGACAATCACAGGCGCACGAATGTATGGTCAACTGGTGTAGGAAAAGCACACGGTGCAGGGATAGACCTTACGAGGATAGAAGACTTGTTCTAGCATTTATCATTGACGAGGATAGTCGCCGACAACTACATAATTAAGCTTGCGTTTTTCCATCGCCCACCGAGTGTCTCGTGAAATGTCTTATGGTATCGTGTCTCTCTATGGACGTACATGGCACGCATTACGGTGTCTAATGGGATACGTTGGGCTCCTGATTGCGCCTTCGAATATGTCAACCGGTGTAAAAGCCATTGGGTACATTCAGAACACTATGGGAACAATGATAAACCGGGCAGAGAGAAGCCACTGACACCTGGGGTCTTTGTGACATTTGCAATGAATATAACTCCATTAGTGGAACAGAGCCTTTGTGCTCTTGCCGGATCTCGTTTAAAAGAAAACATCGTCATTGTCCAAGATATATCATTACAATGGGATTGAATGCTTGATGAAAGAGAATGTTTACCTGGTCTTTATTATTTAGTCACAGCACGACAACCCGATATAAAAATCCAGTTCAGTGTTCTGTCTCACTTTTTGACAAACCATTATTAAGGTCCATCATATTTTCTCGCCAGCCATACATTACAAACCAGTCCTATACCTGACCATTCCCCCCTCCCAGCAAAAAGTCCTCACAAAATTTGACGCTCTCTCTTTCCACCACACCACACCACACCACACCACCCCTTACCGAACCGCCACTATGTCTTCTGCCGACAGGCTAGTCACTCTCGAGACCCTCGCGGGTAGCGAGATCAAAGCCACCCGCCAGGCCGTGGGGCAGTCAAGCGTATTAAGATCGATCATCGACGTCCTCAACTGGGACGAGACGACCGACGAGCCCATCCAGATCCTGACCGTCGAAGGCAGAACGCTGGCAAAAGTGATGGAGTGGTGCGAACACCACCGCGAAGATCAGTTCCTCAACTACGAAGACGAGGAGGGTGACGAATATGACGATGATGATGATGATGATGATGATGATGATGATGAAGAGAAGTCGGAGGAAGGGGACAAGAAGAAGAAGAATACGACTAGTCCATTGATACCGACTTGGGACGCCCGGTTCTTCGACCCGCTCGACAAGGACATGTTATTCAAGATCACGGCTGCCGCGAACTTCCTGGATATCCCTCTCCTTCTGCAGTATAGCGCATATGTCATCGCTATGCGTCTAAAAGGCATGAACCCCATGCAGATGCGCGAGTTTTTTGCTCGTTGACATGATTGAGCCTCGGAGAGGAACATCGGAGTGGTCGGGCGATGGGAAAGCTAATTAACGTATTAATTAGTTGGCTTGGGCTAACTTGTAATGACCTCGACTTCCGTGAGTCGATTGCGTGTAGCTGCCTTTTGCAGGCCTCTATTTAGACTGTTGCCGCCGAATTGATTCATTTTGCCAATTTGAAACCTGTATTAACGTGTATTGGGTATTGTGAGTTGATGATGGAGTGAAGGATGCATCATAACTGGTAAACTTTATCACACGCCATTTGGGTCTTTTGCAAGTGATTTCTTTCGTCTGGGGGACTCGTAAATGAGGAAGCTGTTACAAAGGTAGGCAAGAATGAGCGCAGCAATTCCGGTGCACAAGCGGAGCTTCAGAATGTCGTTTTTCGTTTTATTCAATAACTACGGACTAGGCTTTATGGGAATCAATTTGATAAAAATTCAAACAAATCAGTCGGCGGAAGAAACAATAGGTTGAGAGTAAGTACCTATCGTGACTCTCCGGTAGGTATTTTGAGCCTTGAAGCAACCAGATAGGCATAAAAAATGGAAAAAAAAAGTAAGACTCGAGAAAAAAGAAAGAGATGCATCAGCCGTGAATCGAACACGGGGCCCATCGATGGCAACGATGGATTTTACCACTAAACCACTGATGCTGCTTATTTGATGCTTCTAGGTCATCGGAGTCGGCTTCATGTACCCACCAAGCCGAGAAGCCGAGCCAAGCCGAGCCGATATCGCTAACCTAGGTTAGGTAACCTTACCTACTTATGACGAACAGCTCGTCGCGAACTGAACCCTCAACTTCTACTGTCAACAAGATATGACTACCTATCTCGCATCGCTCTGAATTTAAGTCTTCTATTTCATTTACAACTTGCCCCAACGTATAAAGAGGAGCTACAGTCCGTCTGTCAGTATGAAGTGAGCAATTCTATGATTTGCGAGCATTTCCGCACAGCTGTCGAGTTTTAACTACATAGCGCTTTGGCAAAATTTGCCGCCAAGCTTCTCTCTCGTCCTTTTCTTACACCATTGCCAGTTGATAGACCTTCTGAGGCTGGAAAGCCGATAAGCACTACGACCTACAGTTCCTATCAAGCTGTCACTGTTAGTCAAGAGGCTGACAGAAGGGAATACGGGTTGCCATGTTGACTGGGCGATGATCAGCTTCACGATTATAAGACTGGTCAGTCAGCTCCGAGTGAGTGAGATGACCCTCGCCCGAAGAACAAGGCCGAAAAGGCAATTATGCGCGAGCCCGGAGAATTTACCTGCTAGGACACTGGACGGCGTTAAATGCCAAGGGCGCCTATAGGTAGTGCACACGAGCGAAATGAGTTGCCACAAGATGAACTGGTAATTCGACCTACCAAGTGGAAGCACCAGGCTGAGTCTCATCCCGAGGGGTTGGAAGTCAGATAAGGAAGTCGAAGAGAGGCACGAAACAAGTTCACGCAAATGGGTAGTAGTTTTCTTGATTAATCTAATCATCGAGGTTATGCGATGCTTTCGCTTGTCATGTCCTCTCCCTAACCACAGGATTTAACGAGCGCGTCCAACCTCGAACCGAGTCACCCGAGTACCGAGTAATAACGCCCGATACATGAGGCCTTGGTCCGGAATAATCGAGCTTGAGATCCGGCAAATACAAAGCGACATTGGCATGGTATTTGGACTGCGAATTGGGCTATAACATGGGGTAGATGAGCCGATTCTTAACGGTGTGTCTCGGCCGCAAGCGCCAGTCCTGCCGGTTTTGAAGGGCGCGCACGTTCCGGCGCCTTTTTCGGTCGGTTTCGATTCCCACTGCAGATTTCCCGGCAGATGCAGTTGTCGTGACAGGCCGGATGTTGGCTTCGGATGCTCTTCTTCTCATCACACGAGGGCCTTTCGGGACTCGCGCGGCACGGGCCGTAGCAGAAGGCAACGAACTGACATTCTTCGGATGATAGATGCGCGCTTCTGCCGAAGATGTTGCCGAGGGGGGTTCTGGTGGTGAGGAGGACGATTAGGATCGTGATGACTGCCAGGATTAGAGCGGACTGAGAGGAGTCGGATCAGTATTAGTTATGATTCGGTGCTTCGATCAAGGCAGCCACTACTAGACTTACCTTCCTGTTGAGTTGATACATCAGCCGCTCATGGTTCGGGATGGTTGTGTTAAGGACGATTGTTAGACTGAATTTGCCTGCAGATGTTTCTCTTCCTGCGAGAATTGCAACGAGCGACGGCCCTATGATATTGTGAACGGATGGGTTTGGGATAAGGTGCGCGGATTACCATTCAAGCTTGAAGGTGTAGTATGGGTAGCTCAAGCAGTGCATTTGCCGCCACTACATGGCGACTAAAGTTTCCATCAAGCAGGAGGAGAAACACGAGATGACTTTCGCTGTCGTCTGATCATCTCTCCAGTGGTCTCGCCGTTGCACGGCCCTCACCAATATGTACCGACAGATAACGGTATGAGCACAAATCAATTTGCCTGGTTCGTTTATCAGGTAGCCGCCTTATAACTGAGGTGCTGAGGGTCAATATCCACGCCGGACTCTCGGGCGTTATACTGGCCGGTACATACTTGGTCCGACGGTTGTTGACACTGCCCCTTTACGCATTGCCCTCCTACATGCCCGATGTAGGCATTCCATACATCATGCACTTACTCGTTCTTCGGTTCAAAAGTGTCGCACATACACGCCGTGGCACTCAAGACTTCTCTCAGGATTCGCTTGGGTGGGCTCACCATCTATCCGTGCCACCTGTTGGGGGCGACACGGGCAACGATCGGTTTACACGCGTGCTCCTGAAAAGCTCGTATTAGTGCGATGCCTGTAGTCGATGCGTAACTGATGATATCGCTATCGCGATGGAGTATGACCATGATCATGATGCGAGTGGTATGATTTGCTCCTTAGTATTGAGACTACAGTGCCTCTCGATAAATCTGAAGGGGGAGGCAGGAATGACAGATATAAAAGATGTGATGAAGAAGCGGTTATACCACGGGTCTGACTTTGAGAAAGAGCATGAAATTGGACAAGTAGAAACAATATCCACGGCTTGGTGGATGAGAGATGCGTTACGAGAATAATCTGTAAATATGCCTTGATGAAGGATCCATACGGTCGTCAAAGGACTCACAGTTGGGAAACTGATCCACTTTGCTCCACGCCTCATCAGTAACTACCTAGGAGCGGATAACTATACCTACCGCAAATCAGATGGGTTCATCTCACCTATTGACAGGTCTTGAAAAGCCGGTAGAACTTTGGGAAGAAAAGGTAGGTATTGCACGGATTTCTGTGACGCATGCATCCACTGTCCAGGGAATGGCGTCGCCAGAGTAGGGGATAGATATCAAGCCAGATTTGTCGTGTTCAAACCAATCCGAATTGGTGTAGTGGCTAACATTTGACGCTCTCATTCCTGATGATCCGTCAAGCCCGGGGTTCGATTCCCCGATTCGGAGTTACAAATTTCCTTTTTTTTTTAATTTTTTTTAATTTTTAATTTTTTATGTTTTTATAAATTGAATCTTCCTAAAATCCTGATGATTACCGCAACAAGTTCTTGACACTGAAAAAAAACCAGCCAGCTTGTGCTGCGTTTTGCTACAGAATTAGGTTGAATTTTCCCTGCTTACTGAAAAGGAAAAGAATCGCTGAAGCACCATGTGTGAGCAAAAAAACTCGGTGCCAAAGAAGGACCAATCAGGTCGTGGAAATTGCTTGTGTCCCGATCGGCCGAGGAAGTTCCGTTTCTTTTTTTGTATTATTTCCCTTATTTCCTCATGTCCTTGAAACACCGTTTGAAAACACCGTTTGAAACAGACCCAATCCAGGCTCCAGCGCGTCAAACTGTTCAACTGTCCTTTTTCGTGAGTTTCAATTGCCATCGAGATGCTTTACGTGAACAAAAATGTCAACCTTCACAATCAGGAGCAGTCTGAGTTACGAATCTAGCTACGATATGGACCAAAGACATGACTCGCTCGATATGACATCAGGTCGCCCTTGTCTGAAAGTGAATCAGCTGGTACCTTGCTGGCGCGAAATTGATTCTGCTCCATTACGGACGGTCCACGCGGGGATGTTCGATCACATTGTTTACCGTCGTGAATTTGTGAGCCAGGCTAATATGAGTGTTGATTTGGTCCCTTGTCCCTATTTGAGCAGTTCTAGGATGAGTCTTTTGTTCGCCTCAATGGACTCCATGATTTCGCTAACGCGTATGTATTCGTCCTTCCCATGGGCGACCTTGATCGACCCGGGGCCATAGAGCACCTTTCTATGGTCACCGCGCAGTCTGGGTATGTCGGTGCCGTACGCCATCGGCTCGGCCTCGAAGCCTTCAAACTCCCACTCTAGCACCTTCTCCGCGTATTCGAATTTGAAGTCGACATCGACGTCAGGATGCTTGGCCATCGCATCTCTCACTGATTGCTTGATGCCTTCGATATCCTTTGAGACACGGATGCTGCAGAGCGCCTTGGCTTCGGCCGCCAGGATGTTGTAGCCCGCGCCGCCTTCGATCTTGCCGATATTCAGCGTCGACGGGCCCAAAAGATCAGAGACTGGCAATTCTATCGCTCTCAAGTCATGGATCGCGTCAAAAAGAGCCAAAGTCGCGCTCTTGCCCAGGTGGGGATATCCAGAATGGCTTTACACCGGGCGAAGTCAGATCCAGCGTTACTTCGGAATCGCAACATGGTAAGATGGAGAAGGAGAATGCGGAAATTCTTACCAGGCTTTTCCGTGAGCGACGAGCTCGAATACAACGTTCCCCTTGTGTCCCTTTGCTACCTTGCCCTCGGTAGGCTCGGCGAAAAGACCGGCGTCCCAGACGAGACCCATGTCATTCGCAGCGATCATACCGGGACCTCCCTTTTCTTCGCCGACGACCCACAGGAAACTTATGTCGCCTTCCTTAAGCTTCCCCTCCGCGCGCAGCTCCTCCACTGCGAAGATTTGCGCAACCATGGGCCCGAGGTCGTCGCAGGCACCGCGCCCACGGATCACATCCCCTTCGATGCTGAAGGGGATGTGCGGTGGCACCGTGTCCATGTGCGCGGTCACGAGGAGCCGGGCTTTGCGCTGCCGGCCCAGGTAGGCGTAGACATTGTGCCGAGTGGATTCCGGCGTGATGGCAATCCGTTCTGCCGTGTAGCCGCGGGTTTGTATATACTTGGCTAGATATTGACCGATCTCAAGCTCCTTCTCACTGGTACTCTCGATGTTCATGAGAGTTCGCAGGAGTTCAACCACCTCCTTTGAATCGGTTTTGCCCGCCATGGTGTTGCAGTGTCTTGGTGTAGCTGGGTATACACTAATTACCGCACACTTTGTGAGAAGCTGATCGGTCGCCTCACCAGATAACACTTCACACAATTCGGTTGTCTTGATACTACAGCAATGAAGCGCTCGAGAGCTGGGGCGGGGTCGTGCGGTGCTAGGAGCAGATTGGTCGGATGCTCATCAAGGACTTGGCTCGAGTATGGCGTTCCCTGCACGGGTTATCCCGACTCACCTCCGGCTTCGCATTCCCGAGGATGGCTAATTGATATCCTAGGTAGGTTAGGTTTGTTACATATTAGTCGGCAAATTGGAGCCGATCTATCTACTGGGCTAATCATCTCGATGCTTGCCACTATACGACTCAATGGCGTCATGTTTGGTGCCCGATGAAATGTTTAAAGCAACAACAAAAACAACTCACTAACTCGGACCTCGAGAGAATTAACCACGGCTGATTGACACGATTATAGACACAATTGTCCGACGGCACAAGCGACGACAAGACCAGAACCCATATGTTCGCCAAACTGAAAGCGAAGACCTCTCCGCATGCTAGCTAGCCTCACGAGCCAATCCCGAGAATCGGAAATCCATACCCCAAGTCATGCACAACGTACCCCATCGTCTACAAAGGGTCACGGCTTAAGTACACGCAGAGTGCCGGCCCATTTTATGAGGTCGCATCGGGGCCCGGGGCCTCATAAGCGGGCCTTCAGGAGTTTTACCGGTCCCGTCACGATTGGAGTCGACACTTTGAGGCGTTAAGCGTGGAAAACAACCGGTACTGCGTATCTGCAAGAATCAATCTACGACTCTCGTCAAAGGGCGTGGTTGCATGACAGCCGGTGATCAAGCGGCAAAAGTCGTACGTCTTACAACAAGACAAGAGCACTATCCCGGAGTTGATGGTCACGAGATAAGCTGGCCAAGACTGTCCTTCTCCTGGCATCCCGGCCGGGTTAGGATAGTCATCGTATAGTTGCGGACTCCGAAGGGAAAAAGTGAGGAGCTGGATATGTAGGACATGCCGAGGACGTCGGCGTAAGGTTTCGGTTCTAACTGCTCTAACTCGTCGTGGATTGCCATAGTCATGTCATGACCAGACGATGCAAACTATTCACAGCCAAGTCCCCGAGCTGATTAATTTTACATACCCACCCCTACGCCCAAATATCCGGATACGAAGCGGAGCCCTTGTGTTTTCATCAAGCGTCCAAAGTCCTAATTATACCAAAGGGGTTGCCTCCCTCAAGAAATCGGATCATAACACTTCTGAGCAGTTTCAAGGGGATGATAGTCGAGACCATGTGCGTTTACGGCGATGAATACGACTGCGAATGGTAGGGGGCTCGTTGATCGCGGGGATGACGAGTGATGCTGTGGTCCTGTGATCCTGTGATTCCTTTCCAGCGCTCCTTACCATGCTTGACTCCCCTTTGCCGCCTGCAGTTCTGCCACCTTTGAAAGCTTACTCGAAGTATTGGCCGGCAAGCATCTCTCATATCATTGATGAAGAGGGATGTGCTGGTCAGAGTCACGGACTTGGCGCCTTACTAGTGACTCCGTACGGCGAAGCCCATGGCGGCGAAGCCCATGGCGGCCAAGTCTACTCCGGAATCATTCATCAATGACGGGGAATATAGGAAGGCCATGCATACCTGGTTTGGGAGATACGAACTGGAGCGTTTAGATCTGCGCGCAATTCGTCGCCCCTGTTATCGCCGTGGCAGCTTCTGGATACGGGTTTACCCGACGACGACCTGCTGAAGTGGCTAGCTACACGACCCTCAGTATTATAACGCGAGAACACAGGCAAAGTTCAGCCTCATAGGGCTAGCTATTCCAGCCCCAGCCCAGGCTACACCGCCGGTTACTGGTAGCTATCGCAGCTGGCCCTTGCTGACGTTGGATATACACACGGTGGGTCGAATATAACCTCATCACCAAACCGACAATGTGATTTGAGTTGTATGTATCTCATAAGCAGCCACCACTTCGCATTCGTCCTCGTATCCCATTTTCTTTTCCGGGCGTTCATCCTAACTCACTCAACGGCTCAGTTTGAGCACACCCGTTTCCGTGCGGATCCTTTCATACACGTCGGTGCCAAGAACATTCGCAGTCAGGACGATCTCTCTTTGTCTGGCGCCAGAGATGCTTTACCCGTATTTCTGGACAGCTGGGCCAATCAAATCCTGATGCCAGAGACGGCAGGCATGTGGTGGCATTCCGCATGCGTGACCAACAATTCTGATGATAACTCATAACGATATGAGCATTTCTATTTGAGGGGGCTTGCCGTCAGCTTGGGTTTAAATAGGGTCGATTGCCACGAGCTGTCACATTTGAAGGGCCTTAGACAAGAAAGCCCAAAACCTGGATCTCAGTCCCTGACTACATCTCGAGGGACTGTCATTGTATTAGTTCTGTATTTGAGACAACGCCTCAGTCGGACCTATCCCAAAATATCCACAGTTCCTGAACAATGGCTGCCCCTCTCGATCTTGACAACGTGCAAGGCGATATCTTGTAAGTATTTCCTATAGTCTCCTCCTGCCTCCCTGCATAGAATGTGGGCTGACCTTTTGGGCTAGGCAAGGACTGGGCAAAAAGAACCAGACTTTCCTCTTCTTTCGCATTAAGCCCAATCATACAACCGGCTTCCGGAAGGATTTGAGGCAGTTTATCCCCTTGGTGACCTCGACGACGGAAGCCAAGAATTTCCGTCAGACCATCCATGAGGCCAAAAATGAAGCCGTCAAGCAAGGAAAGCCATTCGATCTGATAGAGAATAGCGGCATCAACATCTCCTTCTCACAGAAGGGTCTCATAGCGGTAAGGCAAGGGGCTAAGGGGCGTAAGCGCGGGTTATAAATCGGCAGCTAATAAGTGTTGTCAACTCAGCTGGGGATCACCGACGATATTGGAGATGAGCTCTTCAAGAACGGAATGCGAGCGGATGCCAACGCTCTTGGTGACAACCTTTCTGACTGGGAGGCCGACTTCAAGAAAGAGATTCACGGCGTATTTATCATCACGGCCAATAGCAAGGTCGTCCTCGAGAAAACGATTAACAAGATCGAGAGGGTCTTCCAGGTTGGCCAAGTCAATGCGACGATGGAGGAGGTGACTCGCCTCGATGGACACACTAGGCCCGGTGCTGAGGATGGGCATG